GGGGTGTGTGGGGGGTGGGGGGGGGGGGGGGGAGGTGACCCCCCCCCCCCCCTACGGTTTCTGAAAAAAATATATCGCACCAATATTTCCCTCTTGGCATTATCATGTCTATGACTTGTGCAATTTTTACACATTTTCGAATACAATTTCGGGTTGAGTTAATTTTTCCAAGGATTTTTAAAAAGTTTCAGTTAAAAATTAAAGATAGTCGTCTTTTGAGATGGAATAGTGGTTGGAAAAAGTATTGGCTTGCAAAAGCTGTCACAAATATTTTACTATTTTTATAGCTTTTATTGAACTGCGTTTTTGGTTGTAATCTAACACTTTAGAGCGCAACTAACACAATGCGGGCAGTATTGCATTTTTGCCTGCGGCATTAAAAAAAAAAACTAGTATTTTCTTTATATATCACACAAGGAAGAACACAGGTGAAAATTATAAAAATTATTTTTCATTTAAGTGCAACGTGGGATTCACTTAATTAACCAACAGGAGCAATGAAAACAGTGACCTCCATTTTCTTAGGTATAACTGCCATGACTGACCAAGTCTACCAACACTGAAATAGATCGAATGTTGGTCACAAAACAAAACTTTGATCCGAGCAAAGTTTTCAATTATTAATATAGAATTACCTAGGTATGGCCTTATCTATACGACTTATAATGAAGTTCAATAATCTCACTCAATATTTGACACCTGTCAACTTGTTGGGGTGTAAAGATGGCACTGCTGAGTATAGAAAACGCGTAGGGGCTTGGGTGCCAGGGACCATTCCCACAGATATTTGGATCGATCTATCTCCCTGGGGAGTCTCACTAGATTGCTATCAACTTAACCGGCCTAAATGTCCGTCACACCGAATAAAGCTGTTAGGGGGTAATTATCTTTAGGCGTGACAGACATTTAAGCCGGTTAAGTTGATAGCAATTTAGTGAGACTCCCCAGGGAGATAGACCGGTCCGGATGGATCGATCTAGACATGGGAACCCAGTCCAAACGTCAGCTATCATGAACGTGGGCATAACAGATGACTGTGGTGAACTGGAGGTTATCAGCTCGCCAGCCTACGTGTTTGGGCTGAGATCGATGTGAGCTCTCTATACAACCGGATTAAATCGGTACACAAAAACAAGAGAAAAAAAGAAAAACTTGTTCTCGTTAGTCAAGATTGTTGCTCAGCGCTGAGACTTAATGTGGCTAACACAGTAGGTTTTGAAATCAGGTACCTTATCAAAGTTTTTGATAAATTCATACCCAAAGTTCCTGACTAAAATTCTGTTGAACTCGTAGTTTCCATAATGCTTCCACCTCTAGGTTACTTGGTAATAAACTGTCCCTTATCACTGCCCAGACCAAACACCGTTCAGTATATACTATATAATTATGTAACACTCGGTGTTTGGCATCCTATAAACGCTTGTTACAGGTGGTTTGTAGGGGAGCCCATAATGCCAATCCTGGATTTACATACGCTGAGGCTATAGCAGTCACGCCGCGTCATTGGTTGAAGTTTGACAGCTCATTCAACTCTTTCTAATATCTTTAAAAATAATTGTTTAACAAAGATTATCATTTGCCCCAACCTACGTTCAGTTCACCTTTTTTTCTAAATAGTAAAGTTGGGTTGGGGGTGAAGGTAATTAGGGCCTGCGCGTGCCTTTATTTATTTATTCAGGATGAAGTTGTGTCTGAGTTTCTTCGATCTCAATAAATGCAGAAATGATTTCATTTTTCAGTCGAAATTGCATTTTTAAATCTGCAAGGCCTTATTAGTAAGCTATTTCATACTCTTGTTTTCTAAGCCACTCTGGCACTCTGGCGATGCGGTGCCTTCTATTTGCTCAACGCCCCACATACCTGACCTAATTTGAACGCTCGATGACGCGCTGCCGCGTGCACCCGTCGCCATTTTCATTGTACAATTAAAGCAGTGGCCAGACCAGAGGGAATTTTTTCATGTCATTGTTTCCTAGAAAGGAAGGTCAGTATATGACACTTGATACATGTTATTATTGTGTTTTTGTGTGTTTATGGTTGTTGACATTTATGATCACTTTTTATGTGATTATGTTTCGATAGCACCTAATGAATAATTAACATAGGCCTATATCGAAATGATGACTAAAGGTGCAGGTTGTTTAATGAGTTATCCAAGAGTTATATGATGTGTTGTTTGATATTTAAAACTGAAGTATAAGTTTGCAATGTGTAGAAGACTTAAGTAAAGGTATTTGTGTATGATTGTCAACATCAAAATAATTAGGTTTGAAAACGTATTGGTTTCGAAGAAAATATCCAGAAAATGTTTGTTCTCTTTAAAGATTCCCGATTATTAACTTTTATCCTAAGTCCTTTTTTTTTCATATTTTAAACTATTGGATCGGTGTGTTTATTGCATAGTAAATTGCCAACAAAGACTTTGACTTGTTATCGTAATTTTTGGTATCGTAAAAAAACATCACTTGGTAAAATAAATTCGAGTTACAAAAGGTTGCATAAAACAAATAATGAAAGTCTAGAACCAAAACTTTAAATCAATTTTTTTTCCTTGATAACCCCTTTTTTCATCCATAAATATTATAAAGAAAATGGTTTTTGAACTTGATAAGCATTATTATTTTTATATATTAGTAAAGAGTTGGATAAGTGTGGACCTTTATTTGGGATCCGAGATTGGGTCATACTTTAAAGCGTAAGCTCGCGTTTTAAATTTAAAATTATACGGATTTTCTCCTTTTTCCAATCAATATCAGCATTAGCAATAGATCTAAAATCAGTTCACAGTTTAAGGCGTATCTATGAGAATTTGATCTACTTTCTGAATGGCAAGATTAATGATAATGTTTCACTGCATACAGCTTTATCTCCAGTGATGTAACCGTACTAACCAAGTTAATTCCTGCAGATGCTCGTGTTGCGACGCACATAGGCCTACCTAGATTAAGCGCTTCAAATTAAGCAAAGTGGAAAGTTCTGATATTCTATCTAAAAGCGGTTGATATATTCTTTGTGCTTGTCACATCAATTATATATATCAAGTCTCTTCATAGGACATTTCAATATTTTTCTTCATGTTGTCAACTGATTTTTTTTTTTGGAATACTGGAACAATGCACTTGTTTTAAAAGGACCGATATGTGCTTAAAGTTGCGTAAACTAAGTTGACTTTAATCGGGTTTTTATTGCAAATCTTCAGAATTTCATCGATTTCGCCACGGTATACAAAACCAAATTTTTATTTATTTGATTTTGGCCGACCAAATACAGTGCAATCTCCGCCTCTTTCATATCACTTATTTCGATGTTGTTCTTTTCAATAGTTCCAATTTAAACATTTTCAGCAAAATATTTTTTTGGTCATGTCATTTTCAAAAATCACTTGAATTTTTACTTTTGATGACACACATAAGTCCCTGTTTTACCTTTTTTTACGTAAATGCAGAATTACATAGCATGTTGAGTAGAAATTGTTTCCCAAAATAAGGAACAGCATTTAAAAAAATGGTCTTAATTCGAAATCAGATCGTTCTTTCTATTTCGATTTAAAGAAATACATTGAGACCGAAAAAACATAAATTCTGGCAAAAATGTACAGGGTGGCCCATAAAAAAAACGACCTATATTACTTTCCATCTCAATGATGATATAATTAAGATATTTCCAACTTTCTTTCACCAAATTGTTCCATAAAGATCAGTAATTTATCCCTGCAAATTTTGCAGAAATTGAAAACCTTAAGGTAGCCAAATTTCATTTATCATCATCTCACCTCGCGAGGACTTTCCTTGGCCTCCTTTCTTGCCAGATCTAAATTTCTTCCTTTGGGGGTACCTTCAGAAAAGAACCTATGCTAACAAACTCTAGATACTTTGAAGACCAATATACGAAGAGAAGTAACGAACAGTCCAGCTGACACGATTGCAAGAGTTATTGCCAAATTCAGTTTGTTTGTGTGGCCGCTGTTATTCAGCAGTGAGGAACGTGGATGGAGCACATTATCAGTTATTGGAATTTGACTACTCTAAAGTTTCTAATTACTGCAGAATTTGACTACTCTAAAGTTTCCAATTACTGCAGAATTTGACTACTCTAAAGTTTCCAATTACTGCAGAATTTGCAAGGATAAAATAGTCAATCTTAAGGAACAATTTGGTGAAAGAAAATTGGAAATATATAAATTACAAGTATATCAACATTGAGATGGAAAATAAAATACAGTAGGTCGTTTGTTATCGACCACCCTGTATATTATATGTATAAATTAGCGTATGCACTTTTTTAATTTAACGAACGCATTCTGTATCCAAGCCGCACATACTCTTTCTTAAAAGTGTCGAGGGGGCATTAAATGCCTTGAAAAGTTTTAATAAAAACACAGTTATCAACAAATTAAAAATACGATTATGCATTTATAAGCTGTTGTATTTAAAATAATTTTTCAAATGTAATAAAAGATTATCACCTTTTATGTCTGTTTGTACAGTAAAGAGCCCATTTAAAAACGACTGTCGCAATCAACTTTACATAGCGTTTTATTTTATATTGGTGTTTTCGGCTAGCATTCAATGAAATGAAATGAAATATTACGATGCAACGATAGAGAAAAATGGTTAAAGCTTATTGAGCAGGCAAAGTATGATTATACTTCAAATAGTTGAAATGAGATATTATAGAGAACTTGCAATTTTCGTACAATTTTCTTTAAAACGCGGTAGTAACAATAATAAATATTATTCAATATTTTTCTCTCCAAAGTAAAACAAAATAATACATGGGTCGGACATATTGAAATCACTAGCATAACAAGGTATATGATTTCACAGGATAGTGACTAGAGCATATTAAACTTCATATTCTAATCAATGCAATTCCTCAAAACTTAACATGGTAAGCTTGTCTTTGATTTCAAAAGCGAATCATATTTTCATTTTCCAATTAGAAACCTGTAAAACATCCTCTGGCCATTCAAATGATCACATTTATATGTGAGACATTCAGATTATTTTGGAGCAATAAATTTTGAAAAAAAAATCAAATCAAAGAAGTTACGCCGAACGTCTTTAAAAAAAAACGTCGTACAGGGACGCAGGGGCAAGACACGTCAAAGCATCATTTAATCACAATTTATTGATACTTGAAACAACCAAGTACCCCAAAAGAGTTGGCCTACGTGCGGAGTGTCGCCAAATCTCATAAAAAGATTAAATGTTCGACCTTAACGGACAGTCGGTAAACATTTCATTAATACATCATTTGATTCAGCTTCTCCGATAAAGACGACGCTTGTTATAAATTATCTGCAGTGTTTCCCTCGTGCAAACAGACAACTGCGCATAATCACGTCTCTAGGGTGACTATATCTTCAACGTGATCCCCAATGAACCTCAGGTTATCAGTAGTCCGGATACAGGTACAAACTGGGGGACTTGCGAAGGGTCGGTGCTTGATCTAACAATTCTATCACACTCTGAGTCTATTGAATTATGCGCCGTGCCTTCGTCCCAAATAATAACTTCGTCCTGAATAATCCTTTCCAAGTGTTGTTTTGAAGTAAAAACACAGCAAATGAAAATAAAAAAGGATTGCTAAAAGTTGGCCCTTTCCATGACTTTTTATGACCAAAGTTGGTTAAATATCTTGGCTGTTTTACTTTCTTAAATTCAGACAGGTGAGCACTGATTTTTAACGTCTGGGTAATTTGTCTGTATAATTTAAATGGACATTATGTTATTGTTAAATATTACCCACCCTAAATAGAAATTAGAAACTCTGCATTTAGGGGCAATGCTCTTATATTAATACGTAAAGTAATACAACTCATAATTGTCTTTTTATTTGATTTTAAGGATGCTGAACCTAGTAGACATCCTCAGCGGAGCCAATGGCTTTTGGAAAGGTCTCCGCAGTGATGATGACTTCTACGACCGCCTTAGCCACCGTTACACTGCCCTGATATTCATGGTCTTTGCCGTCCTTCTCAGCACCAAACAGTACGTTGGAGACGCCATCGTCTGCTGGGTGCCTGGCCATTTCTCTGGCTCTTACACGAAATATGCAGACAATTACTGTTGGATCAAAAACACGTACTATATGCCTTTCCAGGAACGGATTCCAGACCCAGACCTCCCACGTGCCCATATTAACTACTACCAGTGGGTGACTATTGTACTACTGCTCCAGTCGCTTTTGTTTTACGTTCCAACGATATTTTGGCGTCTCATGAGCGGCAGTACTGGCATTGATGCCCATTTAATGGTCCAGTCTCTAAACACACAAGCCAATCTTAACCCAGAGAATCGAAAAGGGGTCATGAAGTTCCTTGTCCGTCACATGGAAAGATACTGTAATTCAAGTCGTGACTATCAGAAAGGTGTATGGTCCAATGTTCGCCAAGGCTGCGCAAAGTACTGTCTGGCCATCGGCAAACGTTATGGCAACTACTTGATAACCCTTTTCCTATTCTGCAAGTTCTTGTACGTA